TACTGGTGGGATGCATACATACCAATAAAACAGAACAAATCGAAATAAAATCACTATTGAAAACTCAATCTATATCACAGGCAGGAAAGTACACAAAGACAAGCAATGTAGAATACAGCAGGAGTCCTGCTGACTAATAAAGTCCAAAAACTAAACTCATCATCGCAGTGATACCTTATTAGACTAATCCCTGCCGCAAAAGAAGTGTGTGTGTGTGTGTGTGTGTGTGTGTGTGTGCGCGCGCGCGTGCGTGTGTGTGTGCGCGCGTGTGTGTGTGTGCGCGTGCATGCGTGTATGGGTGGGGGAGAGACGATGATATTGTATATAACTTTCAGGAATGTGGTAGAAAGCCTTGCACATTCTTGCCAGAAAATCCAAATGACTGCAAAGCAGTTACATGGGATAACTGATAAAAGGGAATAAAATACCTGTCTTGTACTTCTGACATTTCTTTTCCACCCCATCTTTATTGCAGCCTCTAGAGGTCAATAACAATGGACCAGAGATTTCAATAGAGATGTTTCGCTGCCATAAATAAGTTAACCCGATAAGCTAGACATCTTGCAGTCTTTCGAAAGCTACCTGCAGTAGCAAGGATAGGCATATACTATGAGGTCAGTGTTGTAAGGCGATGGCCAAGGCTTCCATACTCACAAGAGATCTGTGGCCAGCCTGTAGCCTCATGAATTTGCTAATCCTCTGCTCACTGTACCTTCTCCCTCTGGGAAACCGTGTGAACTGGTAAGGGTGGTGTGGTGTGGTGGGGACAATCAAGGAAAAGGGCAGAAGCAACACTGATGAGGAGGAAGTAGGGATCATTAGAAAGTTCTTTTGCTCCACCCCCACCCCCACAAAGTGTATATTCTTCAGGACTCCCCCACAAAAAAAATCTGGAAATAAGAGACCACGCCAAATAAAATCCCCAAGAACTATTAGGAGATTTGCCTGGCACAAAACTAAGAGAAAAGGAGACATGAGAGCTGTTATGGAACAATGGTTGAAGTGTTGCACTGAGACCTGAGTTCAAATCCCAACTCAACCACAAATCCCAATGAGTAACACTGGTCTGGTCTGACCTGCCTTATAGCCTAATCTACCTCACAAGGTTGCTGAGAATATCAAGTAGGGAGGAAGAGAGCCGTGGAGACCTCCTTGAGTTCAGTGGAGAAAAGGTAGGATATAAATGGAATGGAATGGAATGGAATGGAGAAGCAGTGGAGACCTCTTTGAGTTCAGTGGAGAAAAGGAAGGATATAAATGGAATGGAATGGGATGGCGTGGATGGATGGATGGATGGAACACTTGTTGACTGTCTGTGTACAGGTATGAGCTCAAGATATGAAGACTCTCCAGTTTCTGTTATCCTTGTGAATCTCAAGTGAAGAACACCAGGTTGTTGTCTGTCTGTGTACAGTTATAAGCTCAAGATATGAAGGCTCTCCAAGTTTCTGTTATCCTTGTGAATCTCAAGTGTTTGTTCTGTTTGATGTTCCTAGTTTGCAGAAATTTAAAGAATGAAGCGTTGTTTAAATGAGATACATATCACATGCCAAACCAGCTTTTTGTACCTGTCAACCCAGAGTCAGTCATATTTGGGTGAGACACAAACAATCTCTTTCCCCTCGGGGCATCTGTTGCACACAGTAAGTTCACCACAGGCCATGAACATCTAGGCAAATTTTTTCTAAACAGCTGCCTGAAGTTTCCAGCTTGTTGGTATCTGCCCTTAAAATGCCTCTGAATTATTCTTGCATGTGTGTCTTTTTCATTTTTAATTAAGCATCAAAGAAATAATTAAGCACAGATCAAAGAAAGCATTCTTACCTAAAGTAAGCAAACATCCTTCAGTAACAGAGAGATCATCAATCGCAATGGTTTCTTGTGCTGTCCAGGGCCCAAATATTTGTCCTCGAATGGAAACCTGTGTGAGCTTTAGCAGAATATTAGGAACGCTTAACTCTTCAGTAACAATACTTGTGCTCTTTAGAATAATAATACTCTTCTCTATTCTTCCTGTCTATCTATAATTATATCCAAGGAGACTTAGTATTGTAGAACTCATGGCTTTCTTTCTATTCTTCTCTACTATGGCTTCCCAGGAGATCAAAATATAGAAGAGTTATTTTACCTGCTTCTCAGTGCCTGCTCCACACATCCATTGGAGGAGGAGAAGGTTGTGGTTGTGGTGAGACACTAGCAACCAACCCTTCTGGGTGAATGGTTAGAGCCGAGGTGAGCAAAATTTTGTGCATGGGCCAAAAATGCCCTTGCCTGCTTTTTCAGTGCCCTGTGCCAGGGATATAATTATTGCTCTGCAATTTTTTAATCCCATCAAGTTTTGATATTTTATCCCAGTGGTCAATCTCTCATGGACACTGGAAGATTTCCAGAGAAGCAATGGGAAGAAATGCTGAACCCTGGAGTGTTTACTACCCATCTCCCCAATTTCCTGCACAAGATTATCTTTTGTGAGATTTTAAAAAATAATCTTTGTGGCTGTCAGTTTGAGGCTCTTACACCGGTGAGTAAATGGCCAATGCAGATGTCCCCTTAGCTTGATCTCAACTCACTTTAAATAAATGAATACTAGCAGCTGATCCCAAGCTTAAATGTTACATGGAAATTTTCAGTTGTCAGGGATGGAATGAAAAAGAAGATAGGATTTTCATATTATTCTGCCTTGGTCCAGTCCTGCTGGCTGCCACATACTTTACAATAATCCAAACAACAGCACAATTTTGTGTCAAGCAAGTCTGTCAGAGAGGATTTTCTTCTTGCATTAATAAAGATAAGAAGAGAATATTGTCTGGGATTTCATTACAGCTCCTGGTGAGCAACAAGTTTGTATTTTAACAGCTAGAGCTATGGATACAGTTGGGCAGTTGATCCATCTTGGTATGATATATTTCACACTATCTGGAATACATTATATGGATTCCCCAAAGGACATAATCCATTTATTGAAAGCCAAGAAACTTTAATCTAAAGACCTAGTATTTCCATCTTTCATGGTTTTATTGATTATCCTACTGAGTAATAACAAGCATATTAGTATATCAATTTTCTTAATGGACTGAGTTCTGAGAATCAGAGGTTATCAAAAAGAAAACGCTATCTCCTAAGGGGAAAAAAAGAATAGCTGGTAGGACACAAGATAGATTATAAACTTTTACAACAACCTGATTTCTTATTAGGTTAACAGTCTTTTGCATCAACCAATAGATCAATCTTTTTTCTTTTTTGAAAGGTTTCAAGAAAACTGCTGCAGTTCTGAGAAGCAGGAAAATGGTAAGATTACCAGATTTACCAGTTAACCAACAGAGGTTTAAATCCTTTTGCTCAACATAAGAAAATCTGTAAATTCTATTCCATTCCTAACTGGGATATGAGTCCCCTTTGCAATTCTTGGAGGCATGTCTGCAAATGGCTTGGTGTGTGCAAGCATGTGCAAAAACAACTGCAGGGGCATTTTATTCGTTGGTTAGGAACACGTTGCAAGTTATTTTTCTTATACTGTATAAGCAGCAGGATTTCAGTTGAACATGCATATTGAAAGGAGACTTCTGGAGATCTAGAGTGAAATCCATTTTCAACTCTGGACTGACTGAACTGATCTCTGGGCTAGTCTAAACAATCTCCCTTGGTGAGGGTGAGGGTTCAGTCCAAGGAAAATGTCCAAAATAGGATATTTATTAAACCATATGTGGGTTGTTCTCTCTGGCTTATAGAATATGTTCAGTTTGGCAAATCACAAATTATTCACAGTACGCAAAAGGTGAATAAAATAGTAGGTGTCTTTAATAATCTGCCCAGCGGCTACTCTAAGAAGAGGGCTCATTATTCTTTTCCCTACTGCATATACTAGCATGCACAGCTTGTAAAAGTTCCTCCTCTTTTTGGCCAACAGGCTCCAGAATCATCAACCAACAAGGCCATTACTAGCCATGCTGGCTGAGTGATTTTTGCAGCATGTGAGAAGTCAGCTATTTGCAGTCTGACTTACAAGCATAATTGTAAAAGTAATACATCCATTAAATTCATGAGATAAAATCAAGTACTACAACATCAGTCATGCATTTTTCATCAGGACGCACACGCCGTTCATGTAACCCCCCTGAACTCTCTGTAGAGGAACAGGAGAAGCCAACAAGACAGCACATGAGCTCAGGTGCAGCTGGGAATGAAAGTATAGACAGCTGCTACTTAGGACAGCAGGCAGCAACCACAAGTAAATTAAGAAAGACATGTGAGATTAAATGAAGAGACCCAGATATAAGCAGCTGTCTCTTGCAGGAAAAAGAGGATGCAATGTGCTTAGCTGGGAAGAAAGTAGATGCCTTATCAGCACAAGACCTGGAGTTTCCTGAGGGCCAAGCAGGACTACAGGTACCCAGGTTTTTCATTCTGGCAGGAGTGTTTTTCTACCAAGATCAGTTGGTTCCATGAAGGCCACAAGACAAGAGAGGTGTAAACGGGACTTCTCTAGCTGTATTCAGTTTGTGCCCAGAAGGAGGAGCCTTCAATGAAGCATGCTGTCCTAGACAACCAGAGGGCTGGAACACTGTTACCTTTCTGTGAAAAGCAGTAGATTGCTGTCGGTTTCTTTCAGTTAAAAGCTAAATCTGAAGTGAACTTCAGCAAATCTGCATCGGTCGCCCTCTTACAGTAGGGATGGGATTGGGTAGGAGCTACTTCCATAAAACTCCATGCAAATTTCTAGCACACATTCATACATACATCCATAGTATCATAATGTGCATGTGTGTATGTTCTGTGCTGTCAAGTTGAACCAACTTATAGCAATCCTAACAGAGCTTTCAAGGTAAGTGAGATATTTAAGAAGTGATTTCACAAGATCGACTCCCCCAATGAGTTTCCATGGCCAAGTTGGGATTTCAACCCTCTTCTCCAGAGTCCTGGTCCGGAGTCCTAGTCCATCACTTGATCCATTTACACCACATTGCAGTCAGTATCATAATAAACCAGAGCAATTCACATACCTTAGTGTTCAGAGTATTCTTGATTGTGATCACAGCTTTTTGCCATTGATTTTTACTTCCTTCTCCTTCTAGCCTGATGGTCTTTAAAGCCATCTCAGGGATTGTTTGAAGTACCACTGTGAGGGTCCCATTTACTTGACCAACCCAATAGTAAAATATCATCTGCGGGGACAAAAGGAACAGTCACATGTCTTGTCAGATTGTAGGGGTGGGGAAAAATATTATGTTTTAATCCACAATTTCCCAAATAGCTCAACAAAACAGGCTGGCTGGGGCATTCTGGGAGTTATGGTCCAAAAAACTCCCATCTCTGGTAGATTTCAAAAACAGCAAACCACATGAAGAGAAAATACACCCCAGTACCTGGCATGTGAGCTGGGTTTTTGCCACAAAGATCACACTGCATCTCAGAATTGCTGGCGATGGGTCTGGTCCAGAAGTCAATATAAGAAAATGGGCTGTTAAAGAAAGAGACAGATTGTTTAGTCTTTGGTATCTTAAACTTTGCAAAATTTCTCTGGAAGACTTATGAGAAGAAAGAATCAATTAAATAAAACAGATCATGGATGAGGTATCTGGCTTCCACCCAGCACAAGTATCAGGGGCTGTAGGTGGTGACAATCAGGAGTCATGTGTGAGAGGACATGGAAAAACAATCTACTCTATATTCTATTAATAGTCTGATTTTGGCAGAATTATTCATTGCAGGTGAAGAGTTCATGGTACAAGTGAAACTGATTCAATGTCACATTTCTTCATAGATTTTTCTCTTTCACATGTTGGTGCTTTCAGAGTATAGCGAGACAATTTAAAAAAAAGAAATTAGAAGCTAACTGTAATAAAAGCAAAAACTATCTGCATGTCTTGGGGCACTTAGTTCACTGGCTCCCAACCTTGGATTCCCAAAAGTTCTTGGAGTATAGTTCCCAGAAATCCTGGCCAGCACAGCTAGTGTTGAAGGCTTCTGTGAGTTTTAGTTCAAAAACATATGGGAACTAAAGGTTGGAAACCACTGATAGTTGCTTGTTTTCCTTCTCTGTTTCTACCAGTTCTGCTTTCTTCCATGTCTGACCAATACTTGAATAGCTTCTCTCTCTTTCACCCTCTCCCTCAAATCTGTCCATGTCTTAATTCTTCAACGAAGCATTTTCTGACTTCGTGACCCCATGGACCAGAGCACGCCAGGCCCTCCTATCTTCCACTGCCTCCCGGCGTTGGGTCAAATTCATGTTGGTTGCTTCGATGACGCTGTCCAACCATCTCATCCTCTATCGTCCCCTTTTCCTCTTGCCTTCCCATTTTCCCAACATCAGGATCTTTTCCAGGGAGTCCTCTCTTCTCATGAGATGGCCAAAGTATTGGAGCCTCAGCTTCAGGATCTGTCCTTCCAGTGAACACTCACGTTTGATTTCCTTTAGAATTGATAGGTTTGTTTCATTGGGGGGAGAAGATTCTTACTCCTTGTGTCAGGTTCACCTAGCATGAATCCAGGTTATTATTGTTAAAAAGCTTGGTCTTCCTCTATGAAGCTTCTGTTTCCCAATGTGTGCAGTAAAGAAAGCTGTATACATAAGTCTATAATTTCAAGAAACTAGGGAAAAAAACATTTTTATTCTTTCTCCTAAAAATGTCTCAGAGTGAGTTCTTGAGACTTTAAGTGCCAGTTAATAAGAAAGTGGTGGACTCTGAGGAACCTGTAGCTAAGAAAGTGGTGGACTCTGAGGGACCTGTAGCTATTGTTCTCTGTGTATCTCGTACTGTATGACACAAAAAGAGAACTTTGTCAGAAATTCAAAACTCTGTAACAGTTCCATATTTTCCTTATACAAAAATGTGCACAGAGCCTCTGTGGCTTGCACTTCTTTGTTTTCTGAAATTCTCTTTCCTGCACCTTAAACTCACAGTCACATTCATCTTTGCATCTCCACAGCAATCTTTCTTTTCCTTTTTGCCTTCCGGCTTGAGTTTGGCCTAGACTCTGAACTCTTAACTTGAGGAATACACTATCCAGCCTGTGTGCCTCACCCTTTTCTCATTTGATTTCCTGGCTTTGACTTATAGCCGGCTCAGAGATAACTCCTCATTATTTACCAATTCCCCCTGAGCTCTCAAGCAATCACTACCCTTTACCCAGTGCATGGCACTTGATGCAAAGTGCAAACCCTTTCGGGAGAATGGCCTGCCATACCTTTTCCGTGAGTCAACTCGGGCAGGGTTTATGACCATCATATATTGCAACGAGCCCTATTTGAATAAAAAGGGTAGCTAAAGACCGACTGGCATTAAATCAGAGGCCGTGGGTGCATCTGAGTCGAATTCCCCTTTCTTAAGGGGAGGGAGGTACTAATCTCTTACTTTGATGAGCACTTAATATTCAATAAAATGACCAAGAATGCTTTAGGTCAGAAAGCTATTTTATGCCCTCTAGCACACTTTCCAAGTCTTAAAATTGCAGACTTGGTGATGTTTAAAGGGTAATTTTTTTAAAAAAAGGCAGAGTAAAAGGGCCTGTACATGAACAGATGTGATACTGAGAATATCTGTCTGCGGTATTAGCTGAGAGTCATAGAATATCCAAAGCCAGGAATCTTCTGAGAAATAGATTTTTATTGATAGATATGATTAGTATTATCAACTAATCATAAGGAGAAAATTGTTCTTCTCCCTGGTTAGCTCTTTCTTATCATTCATTTCCCCCCAACCAGGCACTCTGTGTCAATCAGAGTGAAAACAAACCACAAAGTGGTAGCAAGTTCATGCACCAAAAGCAAGCATGCAACAAGGGAAAGAATATCAGTGGCTATATAAAACGACTATTGAAAATTATTGAAGAGTGCTGTAACCACAGTCATCCATAATGATGAACCAAGATTTCTCATTTATCGTGGGTAGGGTTTATTGTGGTCTTACAAGCCTGGCTTGTCTGAGAGCAATAAGCCAACATCTCTGTCTTGTTAACTTTTCCAGTTCAGTTCTACCCACTCAGACACAGGAGAGGGACAAGACAGTCGGGAGGTTAATGCAGCAAGTTTCTTTATTCTTAACCAAGGAATAGGTTGCTCTCACCTGTATTGTTGCCATTGTGGTCCGAGCGAGGAGATCCTATGATGCTCACTCCATTTCTCCTTATCCAGCCAGTGGATGGCTTCCCATTGCCGATCTTATCGCATGGTTCACTTTCAAAATCACATGTTTTGTAACAGGAATCTAATTTTAAAAGGGTTACTTGCATAATTTCCACTCCATTGTGAGTATATTTATTTATTTATTTATTTATTGGATTACTTCCATAATTTCCACTCCATTGTGAGTATATGCATTATATAAAATTTCAGAAGCTATATGATATATATTTATTGTTTTTGCTCAAAACTAATGCAGCAGGCAGAACTTGTTTCCCTAGATATGTGTTTCATTATTCTAAAAAAAAAAAAAGATTAATCTAAGATTGCAGTTATGTAGTCAGATACTACACTACAAAGTCACTGTCAACCATGTTACACTGGAATGATATGAAAGAGGGAATTAGCGGACAAAACCAAATTCAGAGTATTCATCTCTCTGAATCAACTAACACACAGGCAACTTTTACAAGAGAAACATGTAACGTAAGTTCAGCCTTATGTGAAATCAGATGGAGACAACTTTGGGCCCATGTTGTTTAAATAAGCAGCCCAGTGGTGGGGGAGCAACCCTCTGTGCACAGGGCAAACTAGCATATCAGGGAACTGTTACAACAAAACAGTCCACCAGCAGGGAATTTTCAAAACTTGATTCTCCTGTCTACAATATTAACTGATGGCAGCCCATGCCTGTATTTCCTGCACACTTGAATCAAATTACAGTGGTGCCTCTCATAGCGACATTAATCGGTGCAGCAAAAATCACTGCAAAGCGATTTCGTCGCTATGCGAATTTAAAAAGCCCATAGGAATGCATTGAAACCCCTTCAATGCGTTCCTATGGGCTTGAAACTGACCTTTAAGCGAAGATCCTCCATATGGTGGCCATTTTCGCTGCCCGGTAAGCAAGGAATCCGTCCCTAAATACAGCAGGCGGCCATTTTTTTTTTACCCGGCGGTCATTTTGGAACTGCCGATCAGCTGGGGGGAAATCATCGCTTTGCGATAATTGGTAAGTGAAACAGGGTACCGATTATCGCAAAGCGATTTTTCCCCATTTAAAACATCACAATGCGATCACAAAAGCGATCGCAAAAAGTTATCGCTATGCAGATTAGTCGTTAAACGGGACACCCGTTAAGCGAGGCACCACTGTAGTTGTTCAGTTAAATGATTGTGTGGATCACTGGAATCTATAGGTTGTCCTGATGCATAACTTGTAGACAAGAAGCTAACATTAGGACAGAATATGGAGAGACAATTTCCTATAGGCAAAGGTGTCAGAAAAGGGTGCATTTTATCTGACCACTCTGTACACCGATCATATTGTGATGCAGTGCTTAAACTACAGTACTGAAGCCAAAACATTGCTCACAACCTGAGTTCAATCCTAGGTAGATGGCTTGAGGTTCAGTCAGCCTTCCAGCCTTCTGACGTTGGTGAACTAGCACCTAACTTTCTGGGTGCTGGATGTTTAGCCTACATAATTAAGTTGTAAGCTGCTGAGACAGTGCTTTAAGCACTATAGGGTGTTATTTGAGCAAATCGGACAAAATTACAATTGCTTGGTTCTTGCTGCATGAATGCCAGTTTTTGTTTCTAAGAGCTAGGGATGGCATTAGTATCAGCAGCATCTATGCTGTAGTCTTGATTTATGCCGGCTTATAGATGACAATGATGGTGAAGAGCATGGATTAATAGTAGAACACTTGATTCACTAGCAGAAGGTTCCAGGTCTGATCTACACAGTGTCCTTTGACCATCTCTGGTTAAGTGTGATGTGTAAGAAAACCAATGTATAGAACAGAATTGGTTTAATTGAGTGGATAAATAGATTAATGCTTGCCTGCAATATGCTTTTTGCTTGTGATCTGCAGTCTCAATGCCTCATCATTCAGCTTGTATTGCTGTGCCCCCTTACCTGACAGTGAGACCCACTGAATTTAATAGGACTACTTCTCAGGTAGGTACCTAAAATTAACCTAATGGTTTAGACTTAGTCAAAGATTACTCCAGAGAAATTAGTCTGATTGAACAAACAGGTAGCAAACACCAGTAGTAGAGGACTATGGATTGACTCCAGGCTATAGAGGATTTTAATAAATATATAAGGACTGAAAACTGGTGTAGCAAATAGGATAGTGAGAAATGGGGAGGGGAGTATGACTACAATTACTCCTTATTTCCCTTTGGTTATATTCTTTTCCAATATAATCAGCATGGAGACAAATATGCTCTGATAAAGTTGAAAGAGACAAGATAGAGCTAAAAGGATGAGTTGTTCGACATTGTATTTTTTTCCTTCCTTGTTTGGCCTGTACACAGTTTATCATTATTCACAGTATCTTGCAGTTCCGTCTAAACATAAGCAGATTTTCCACTTCTAGTGCATCTAATTTAATGTTCCAGGTTTCAGAAGATGACTTTAAAAGAATCTGGCTGGTCATATCTATTTGGGAGTGGGGGTGGAGCGGATTGTATACATTTTTGCAAAAAGCTATTTCTCACTTTCCCCCTTCCATGAATAATCTTAGTTATCTTAAACCTGCCTCAGCACACGATCACTCTGCCAGCCATTTGTCTTCATCTGCTTCTTACACGGTACCAAAGAGAAGCAGCTCAGATATGAAAAAGAGGTCAAAGAGCTAATGAAAATGTAAACATTTGATTGATACTAAAAACTGATTTATGAGGATCTGAACACTGTGAAATGTATTGCAGACTTTCTAATACATTGCAAGGCCTACCTAACATAAACAGCTTATTGAGCTGCATTCTGGATGTGTTTAAAAAGATTTATCGGTTGAGGACAGGAATTGTGGTCCTCTATACATTTTTTTCTGATTCATTTCCCATCAGACCCAGCATAGCCAATGGTAGGAGATTATAGGAGTTGTTCAGACAATTTCTGAAAGATCACAGTTTCCAAGACAAGTTCTGGCCAAATCTTTCAAGGTTAAAAGAGCCATGTGGTGAAGAGCCCAAGTTATGAGCTAAAATCTTTGCTGGTTGGAGAAGAACTTACAGCTTATGAAGCTGCCTGTTTGATCACACGCCTCTGCAAATCTCTGAGGGCATAAGCCTAACTATGAACTGGATCCTGATTTAGTCAGAGTGAATCTAGTAAAAGAAATGAGTCTTATGTATTATGTCCAAATCTTATGTATTCCAATGTGTACATTAAATACAACATTTTACCAGCTTAATAATGGGTGCTATTAACCAATAGAGTATCTTTTTGGGCTTTGTGTGTCTGTGTGTGCGTGTATGGGTGTGTAACTTATCACCATATAACTAATAAGACAGCTAGTAAGATGTTATTACATGCACTAATTACAGTGGTGCCTCGCTTAACGATTTTAATTGGTTCAAAAAAAATCGCTATGTGAAAACATCATTAAGCGAAACACCATTTCCCATAGAGATGCATTGAAAACCGGATAATCCGTTCCAATTGGAATGGATTACCATCCTTAAGTGAAAATCCCCATAAGAAAAAAGTTAAGCGAAACCCATTGAAATGCATTGAAGCCTATTTCAATGGGGGGAAAAAATTCACAAAAAATCAAAAAGACTCAGAACAAAGCCAAATTAAGTTAACGAAGGTTT